ACTCTTTCATTTACAATTTATGAAATTGTTCTTATGATAGGTCTCACCTGATTTCCCAGGACTAGAGATACTCATCCACTGAACAATATGTGTACATGTACACACCCGTTTCAATATAGACACTGATCACTATATGTATGTACATCCGTCACACTCCCACATGACTATATGTATGTACGTCCATCACACTCCCACATGACTATATGTATGTACGTCCGTGACACTCCCACATGACTATATGTATGTACGTCCATCACACTCACTGATCACTATATGTATGTACGTCCGTCACACTCCCACGTGACTATATGTATGTACGTCCATCACACTCCCACATGACTATATGTATGTACGTGCGTCACACTCCCGCATGACTATATTTATGTATGTCCGTCACCGTGTGTGCTTACATCGGTCACATCCGTGTACGGACAAACACTCACACACACATAAACACTTTTGCTTTTTCGTATGCCTATTTTTTTTTGTATGACCATAGACTTACAGTCAATGGAATGATTTCTTGCATGTTTCTCGGATATACGTTAGCCATAAAGAAAAATCTGCGTCGACCATTCAAAAGAGCTTAAAACTCTCTGCTAGAAACACTTTTTCAGAAAGCTTTTGAACTTCTCCTGAATAGTATATGTCGAGATTAGTTTTTTTCGACTTACTGAAAAAACACTCTTTTCAATTCGTGCTTTTATTCCTTCTTCCGAAACCTTCATAAGTCGGCCAAAAACAATCCTTTTTTAAAGAACTTGTTTTGTTTTAAAGCTTGAGGCCTCGGCTATCAAACAGCTACACTATTAAATTTGACTTCCATTTACCTGCACGACTGTCTGGGGTGTTCCCTGATTATCGACGATGTTTTGGTTCTGGTCGTCGTTGGCAAAAACGTTGTTATAGTGTGTGTAGTTGAGATAGCTGACATGGCTGTTACCGCGGTTGAGAAGGTGGTTGGAAAACAAAGTTTACAAGTCCTTTCGTTCTATCAGTCGGAGGTGTGTATGTGTCCATTTTGCATGTTAGCGTCGCTAGAATATCTAAATATGACTTTTTCGCAGTGATTTGCGCGAAATCCGACTGATAGAACGAAAGGACTTGTAAACTTTGTTTTAGACCGAAATGCTCCATAAAAAGTGCACGGACGCTTTTTGTTGCTCTTACAAAGACTAACACTGATCCAAACTGGTTCTGTAAAGACCTCCTAGAAAACCGATCTTTCAGGTATTTTTCGAAAAGGATTTTGCTTATGAAGACATAGGCAACGCTGCCTCGTTGGATTGCTGAAAAGCCCAGATCGTTATCTTTTATCGTTTTTGAGTTATTCAAAAAGCGCTAATTAGCGTGGCTCGTGGAGGAAGAATTAGCGTTTCTCAAAATCGGTTTTTGTGCTAGTAGTCAAACGTCGATCAAATTGTTTTAAAATATTGTTCATTATAAAGAGGTGCGGTTATTTTTATTTATTGGGGCACTCGATACTCCTTCGGATGAAGGGAAGGAAGTTTTTAATTAGGGTCTAGTTCTGTAGAAAACCTCGTCTGTCTGCAACATCTCTGATGGTATTTCAAGGTTTTAGAGGTTTCGACGCTTCCCAAAATTAAGGAAAGCAAGAATAAAAAAATCCCTTCCCCTCATCCGAACGGGTAAACAGTTTTCGTTCAAATAAAAAAACAACCCCGGGTTCTGTACCTTGAAGTATAGTGAAAAAGAATTTGCACGGGCAGAGGGCCCATTTTGGGCCTTGGTCTCTAGAAAATTCCTAAACGCTGAGGTCTGGCGGCGAAAAAAAAATTTCACAACTTTACTTTTATGTGCCCAGCATTTGTGAAAAGTTTCGTGGCAATCCCACGCACCGTATCCAAAATCGATTTTTTACAAGCCCTTTCGTTCTATCAGTCGGAGGTGTGTATGTGTCCATTTTGCATGTTAGCGTCATCAGAATATCTAAATATGACTTCTTCGCAGTGATTTTTACGACGTTTTGCCCCGTGTATTATCCCAAGCACTAAAAGAAAATCATGAAATGGGCGCATGCAGCTACCTGACCCTATTTTTAACTCACCAAAGCTAGCGTAAGTGAGTTGAAGCCAGCTGATGCGTTTGAATTGCTCAAGCGCTCACTGAATCATCCGCTATGAGCTAGCAAGTGAGGACTTGCTCGGCACAGCTAGCTATTTGACCCAAAAATCCACTCTTAAGCGGACGCTTGAGCTATTTTATAAGCTAGATTTCCTTGCTTACTCTTTTTTTGCCTGGGTACGACTTTCTTTTCGATCCTGCGTCTAGTGCGGCTATGGCCTCATGCTTCTGTTAGTACGATGGAGGTTTTAAAGTCTATATCTCAAGTTCGCTGCAACAGCACTTTCCGGGTAGAATTCAGCTTACTAGATCACGCAAGATCTGTCGGTTTCTTAAGAAACCTTGTGACAAAATCTTACTGCATAGTCTTGTTATTTTGCCAGTTCGTCACTTAAAGTGACACTTAGCTATTTTTAAGTGTGTATGTAATGTATTCGTCGCTTTGCTCGTGCTGTTTTTGCTATCGCTGGACGTAATGCATACAATTTCATCCGTTTAAATTTGTATGGTAGTATACCATCCATCTCCACAATTGAAAATGGTCTAATAACATCAGCCATTGACGAAGGTAAATTTCGTTTTAGTGAAATGAAAAAATATCTTGATGAAATAAATTGTAAACATGTATTCTTACCTGAAGACTGCACGAAAATAATACGAAAAGTAGAATATGATTCTAATTCTAATTCTTTTGTTGGTTTTGCCATTCCTTTCATGGATGGTCTATCAACAGTTGATAAATTCCAAACCGATGATTTTAATGAATTAAAATCATGGTTTGAATATAATGAAATACCATCTCTTTTAAATTTACATATGGTACAGCCAATTGTATCAGATGATAATTCTTCTAAATCTTCTCCATTCATTTTATACACTAGAGGTGATAAGGAACGAAAAGTGTTTGTACATCCTCCTACAATAAAAAGTAGTTTTTATTCTTCTAGGTCTCTTATATCAGCCTGCTGAGAACCATCTTTGAAAGCGAAAACACGTTTTTTTCGGTTTCGACAGTTTTGTGTCGCATTTTTTATTGAAACCGGCTATAAGAGACCGCGGCGACTGTTATTTTTGAACTCTATGAACACATATGAATGAGTCAAAGTCCCAATCTATTATTTGTAGTTCCCGAGATATGGGTCTCGGAAGTTCTCGGTTTTCCACAAAACCTGGGGCTTTAAAATTTGAGGAAAACGGTTTAAATTAATACCAGTTTGTAGAGAATTCAGTCGTCTTCAAACCGAGATGCCAGCGACAATTTTTGGATGGAATATGACAGAGTTCTAACCAAAGTAGATGAACGTGCGGGAAATGCTGCTTTACTGTAGTTTTCGGAAGGCTGACTTTGTTTTCGCTAAAACTCCGTCATATTCCATCTAAAACTTCTCGTTGACATCTCGTTTTGAAGATGGTTGAATTCTCTACAAACTGACATGAATTTCGAGTTTTATTGTCAAGTTTTGAAGTCTACAGGTTTTCTGGAAAACCGAGATCTTCAGAAAGCCATATCCCGGGAACGACAAACAATAGATTGGGATTTTGACTCATTCATATGTTTTCGTAGGATTCAAAAATAACAGTCGCCGCGGTCTCTTAAAGCCGGTTTCAATAAAAAATGCGACACAAAACTGTCGAAAACCGAAAAAAACGTGTTTTCAAGATAGTTTTTCAAAGATGGTTCTCAGCAGGCTGATATAAAAGACCTAAAAGAATGAAAACTATATTTTCCTAGAACTCGGATAATGGGGAATTCGATGCACTACTATAGTTAGAATTTTGACTTTGGCTTCGATGTGAAAACTGCATTTTAAAATGAGGCATGAAAAACGTGAAAAAACGCCATCTTCCGACCAATTTTTGGATCCCGCGCAGATGCTTAAAATTTTTTTAATAGGATATTGTAGTTCAGAATTGAATGCCGTATCGAATGAGGCAGGTTTCTACTTTTGCGTTACATCTTCATGTAATGGTGGTATTTTAGCAATGGAAACACCCATGGGGATTCAGAAAAAACAGTCGCTTTCCTAACAGACTGGCTTTAAGATCTCAACACTCGAAGCGGGACATTTTCACTTTTGGCAATGTGTATAGATGACGACAGTATGGCATTTTTAAGAAGCCCTCAGCTTTCTTGAAAGCCTTCATTTTAAAGTATTTCCCTGTATTTTCACCATGAAATCAACTGTGACCTTAGACTTAACTCTTTGTCTCTAAAAAACAAAAAAATGATTTAAAGGAATTTTAACTGTAACTATTTGTTTTCTTTCTTCTTATCAAACAAAATATATAAGAACAAAAAGAACAAAGAAACAGTTAAAAAATGTATGCATAATGTAGTTTAGTTCTATCTTCTCATACTTTCTATTTGTATCTTTCTTTCTTCTTTATCTATCTACTCTCGTAAAATAATCCTGTAATCTTTACTTTCTTTAAAGGTGTACGGTCAGAAGAAGTGATTACTTTGTAACGGTACGTAATATCTTAGAAAAGTTCTCTGTAAAATGACTATTTCGATTATTTATATTTGTACTTTGTTGAACAGAAATTTTTTGTTGTGTTATTTGTTAAGCCTTTTGGGAACAATAAATCTTTATATTAAAAAAAACAAAAAACCTATTGCAACCTAGCATTTGTTTTGTCCTTGAACTATGGTTTTCTTATTAAATATAGTTTGTTACTGACAAAATTATTAACTAATTTTCATAAATTAATTTCCTCAAATATCTCATTCATATAAATAAAATATAATTTTAGTACAACCGAGCTCATTTCTCTTGTTTGAAAGTCAACTATACACACCGAACTCAAATATCTCTTCTTCCGAGCTCATTTCTTATCTTATCCTATCGAATAGACTCATCGTAAGAGTCCCTTGCATTGTGAGTAAAAAGAAATACAAAGCTATTTGATTAAAAGGATATTGTTTTTGAGAAAGGTAAGTGTTTGATTATAAAGGTCAAGTCAACTTGCTTTTATGGTGTAGCTGTAGCTTTTATCTTTTTTTTCTTTTTTGGAGAGAATTTGTTTCTTGTGAATCTCGTCACATACTTTGTAAGTAGTTCCATTTTATGGCTAAATTCAATATTTCTGCACCGTCTGAACGTATATCAAAATGTTCTTATTACTAACTGTGCACACCGAAAAATAAATAAAAGAAAGTGTTACTCCCTCTATTAAAACATTACACCAATTAATCTTTAACAAAAGCAAGTTAGCGTGATTATACCTACCCATGTAATCAGAAAAACAGTCAGAATCCAATAAAGAACCATCGCCTATAGCTGGAAGACATCCCAATTTAAAGAGAATTGTTTGAACTATTCAATTTTCTATATAAGAAAAAACTACTCAAAGATTTTCTTCAAAGAAGATGTCTAGAAAATTTGTTTTAGACCGAAAATCTTTAAAAAGGATACTGAGCCATTTTGTCAGAAAAGTCTGTGCATTAATACTCCTTTTCCGCTAGTGTAAGGGACTAGTACAACAAAAACTCATATAACTTAACCTATGAAGATTTTTATTTAGCGTGATTTTACAACTATCTCTTGATGGATAAGGAAAGTGGAAAACTAGACATTCTCGTTCAGTCGTTCATTAGAGCTGTCAACAATCTTGTTCTTGGTCTCTGCTCTTTCGTCAGGGATGATTGGACTCTCATTATCTGGCGTTGATGAGTTTTCAGCTAATGTGTTTAGCGGTCTTGGTCCAAAGACAAAACTTATGCATTGAACAAAAGCTGTCATTTCCGAAACACGTTCTCGATATAATTCTAATTTTGGATGTGTTGGTGGCAACGATTGCAAACCAATCTCAAGTGCTTTTTTGTAATAAGACAGCGCGTTATAAAAATCAAGTACATTTTGAAAAAGGATTCCAAGAGAACAATGAGTGAGTGCCAGTTGTGGATGATAAGCTGGTAATATTTCGGATTGAGTCTGAAGAACGTATTTTAAAATGTAATAAACCTTTTCATGCTTTCCTAAGTTACATAGCATGCTAGCTATATCACGATGGGTTATCAATACTTTAGGGTCATTCCATGTCAAACATGACCGTTGAATTTCCAGTGCTTTTTCGAAATATTCTAATGCTGTTGCGAAATCGTTTTGTTTCGCATAATGGTCTGCTTTATAGAGATATTCGTCGCCAGGTTCACCATAAATCGTCAAATCAGGTTTTTCATTAACAGGAAATTCATTATTATCCATAAATGTGAAGCTAATGTTGTTATTTCCTTGTGCGATATTCGCGTATTTAGTAGCGTTTTCGTACTGTTCCATATGGACAAAACGAAATGCTAAAGTTAGAATTGATGGTTCGGACGAAAATTTTGTCTTATAATAGTTGAGCAGCTCGTCTTCTTCTTCAACCAGTGACAGTGTTATAACCCAAACTTGTTCAGTTAGTTTACCGACTGCTTCAATACGAAAACAAGATTTCCTCTTCATCTTGAAAGTAACTATGTTCTTTAATTGCAGCAAATCGACTTTTTTTCGTTTTTCGATTGTCAGCGTTTATTTCAAATAAAACAGATTCAAGTAGTGGACGGTCGGAACCATTTCGTCATAAATCAGAGCAACATCTTTATCCATTGTCGTCGACAGAAATGTGTTCATTGATATTAATCCACCTTGATTTTCTTTTAATCTTTCAAGTTCACCAGCATCTATTGTTTGTCCTCGACAGACGGTTAAAATCGTATGTTCATCTGAAGCCAAACTATGCAATTCAGAGATTTGTTTATGAAGATCTTTGATAAAACATCTATATTTAAATATCATGTCGAAATCTTGTGTTCGAAAAACTTTATTGAGTAGCCGATATAAGAAACAGTCACGTGTATACCAAAAAATGGCCTGTGATGGTGCATACCATTCTTCAAATTCATTGATTTTTTCTAATTCCGTTTGATTATCTTTGCAATTAGATCGACATTCTTCAATCATTTCCGTTTGAGCATTTTCATTTTTTTCTTTCATATAAAGTAAATTATCGAATAGTAATTGATACCAGACAAATGTAGCATTTTCTTCTACTAGACATCGCATTGATTTTTCGTCATTTAATATACTCATCGGTACTGAATTACTATTAATGTGTAACTTCAAATCATTTGTAAGAGTTTTTAATAGTGAAGATTTGGTGGGAGAAAAACCTCGAAGTTTTGAGTAGTTCCAATTATCCTTCGCATGACCATAGGCTGTTTCCAAGGGCCAAAAAATATAGACCGATTCCAATTGTTTCATTTCATGTACTTGTGGCAAAACAGTATCTTTTGCAGTGTAATACGTTGAACAGCGAATCAGCGAATCAGCAACGAAAAAGCAAAAGTGTTTGTGTGTGTGCGTGTTTGTCCGTACACGGATGTGACGGACGTAAGCACACACGGTCACGGACGTACATACACATAGTCATGTAGGAGTGTGACGGACGTACATACATATAGTGACCAGTGAGTGTGACGGACGTACATACATATAGTGACTAGAGAGTGTGACGGACGTACATACATATAGTCATGTGGGAGTGTGATGGACGTACATACATATAGTGACTAGAGAGTGTGACGGACGTACATACATATAGTCATGTGGGAGTGTGACGGACGTACATACACACATATCTTACCTCTGACATCCATGTTCGGAGCTCAAAATGGAACGATGGTTTACTCTGCTTTTAACTGTCGCACACTTTCGTGAAACACTAGAAGCGAATATTTGTGAAGAGACATCGATTAATCATTAGAATTGTGTAGGGATATTCAATCTTTATTTCAAGAAGGAACACACAAAAATGTGTCAGCCAGATAAATAATAAACGATGAATAAAATTAAAATATTCTTTTCTACTTTACTTCATCATAGAATACGTACAGTATGAGTCGAAGCTGTGAAGGTTACAGATGAAGTTAAATAACTGTAGAAATTAACATTTAACTAACTAGAATTTTAACTGGTAGTAATGAACTAGAAACAGACAGTAATCACTTACAAGCACTTAACATCAACAGCCAAGTGATACAATGACCGTTTCGAGACATCAAAACTTGGGACGAACAACACATATATATCTATATGTTGTTAGTTAGAGCTCTGTGCTTGGACGAGTTTTCAATCTTTTTAACTCAACATGGAATTCAAAAATCAAGGAAAAGTCAATTTTTTTTCTGGAAAGAAACTGTCTGTCGATGAACTCTGACGTATGTGTGTATCTGTGACATAAACCAAACTTTGAACTGAGAAAATCTAGTAAGAACCAGGTGTTTGCGAAACTTTTCTCGAAGGAAGGATAACAAAGACGTCCTACGTACACTCTGCGATATTATGGAACATACATAGTATCCCCTCATCCACTACTCAAAAAATCAAAAAGAGAATAACTTATGGAGAAAAATAAATCAACTACAATTATTTATAACAATTCTGATGCAAGGTAACTTTAATGCTCACTTTAGTAAGTAGTGTGATAATATTAATAATTGTGCCATACCACATGAAGTAAGTAACTTATATTATATGGACTGTTGATCTAATTATGTGCTGAACCTCGTCCAAATCGGAACCATTCTCTCTATAATTTCACTGGTGAAGGGAAATACTAAGATCCGATGCGATTTATCGTTATCTGACAACTTGTTTATCAACTCTTCGACAGACGAGAAAGTAGACTTTTGGAGGATTCATTTTTTTCTCTAGTGGAGCGTTATCCCTTCCTCGAAATGAGTATCAAAAGAAAAACCTTTGCGCCTTGTTGTTTTTCACGTAACAGTTACTATCAACTGTTCAGGCACTTCTCCTTCTCACCACCTCTTTGCGTTTTCACTAAATTATGTAAACATCATTTCAACGAAAGATTAACTTAGATTGAAGCTTCTGATAAGAATAACCTTGACAAAGACTGACTAAATCAGCATCTGTAGGGATGGGATCCGTCCTCCATGTTAAAGGAAAACCGTACCATTGTTAGTGAATTGTGTCTGTCAAACATGTAAAATGTTGCGAAACTTCCAGCAAACGAAAAATATTTATAACCTGTGGGGCATATCAAATGACCGAATATACCATTCGCCGCTCTCATTCGAGCCTTTGGATATTTCTCAGATTCCTAAACATTTATGAATGAACGTGAACAAATTCGAATGGCACTTCTCTTAAATAAGTATCCTAGTGAAGTTATCGGGGCTCAATTTAATCGTGTATTATCTGTTTTTCAAGTTAATTCGCTTAATTCGAATAATTATAATCAAGAACGTGAAAAAATACTTAACAGTAAAAGAATTGACAAGCCAACAGTCGATTTCACTACCACATTATTTGTCCACTTCACATATTGTTCAAGTATGAAGACCTTCCCAGCAAAATTCCGTTTACTCTGGCAAAAATACTTCAGTCAATCGCCAATTTCCGATATTAGACCAATTATTGGCATTCGCAATGTTGGAAACTTAAAGCGACGTATCGCTTATACTAGACAATAAAAGCTTTATTTGAGATTCTTTAATCATCTACATTTCTCAAGGCTTTACTAGAATTAACCGTTTACCAGAATTATCGAGATTATACGTTTTCAAGCCCACTTTTCTAGATCCTCAAGCCCCAAGGTTTCACCATTGAACTCGTTTCCAGATTCGAGTTTGCGCGGCTTCGGGTTCACCTTTCTGGGCAATCGTCGGTTTTTGCTTCAATCATATGCATTTTTCGAGGTTTTGCCTTTGACGATTCGCCTTCAAATTCGAGTTGGCGTGGTTTTGGCCTCACTCTTTTGCATAACAAATTATCCGACAACTTTATACGCTTTCAAATTCACTTTTCTAGACGATCGAGTACTGTTCATAACTCAATTCCAAATGCTTTATCGACTAATCGCCCCAACACCACCCAGCCCCTCTACGTTTTATTTCATTTTATTTTATTTTACCTTTTATTGTTGTTCTTCTTTGTTCTTTTACTTTTTTAATTACAGTAATATGTATAGTCCTAAAGAGTTTCTTAATAAAGAATACGAAACGCGTCGGCAAATACGTTTTACACATATTACTACATATGCAATTAATATTTATCAATTTAGTTTTCGCCTTCAACTTCGATTACTGAAAAGTAAAAGTTGAGAGCCACGGATTTTGAATTTGTTATTGATAGCAAGTTGAATCCATCTTTAGAACAATGTATTAGATGTAATAAGATCAGAACGCAACAACAAAAGAAAGAATATAGTGAGCGAGAAAAATATATCATCAAACAGAAAGGGAAGAATACATACAATAGATTGGAAAAAAAGTACAAATGTTCGTGTAACAGAGTGGAAAAGTACATATAATATTTGTTGTTGATTCGATGAATGTGGCGTTAAATCTTTCGATTAGTTTAATTTATTTTGGATGATAAATGATCCCTATAATGTGATCAGATGATATCTTAACGAGCAATGCACTTCTATTTTTAAGTAAAATTATAATACCATAAATAATTTGTTATTTATATCCATTTGTTGATTGTGAAATTATTTTATTTAAATCCAGAGATATCGCTATCGAAATTTCAATGCAAGATTTCATAGATTTTAATTTAACAGCTGGTTTTCTTTACATGCTAATGCATAATCTTTAATTTCTAATGCATACCGAGTCAATAATCGATGTTTCCAATCTTGAGGCATATTCTTTAATGCATTAATGCTAGATATTCACCTTTTGTGATAGATTTCTAGTAATTCCATCCATAAATACATATAATTATTCATTACAGTCATCGTTCTACCACTTTGATAAATTAATTAAAGACAAAAGAAAAAAAGATGTTTATAATCTTGGATTGACAAACAATATACAAATATAACATTATTTCACACTGAAACACTATCATTTGTTGTTTACAATAAAAAAACATAAAAAATGGAGTACATAGGAAAGAACAGTTTTAGTGAATATATCAAGAATACATTAGACAGACAATATATATTGTATGACAATGAAAGACAGAAGAAAAAGAAGAGCGCATACAAAAATCATATAAATAAATTCAGAATTTTTTTTTTTGAAAATGAATTATCAAATTCTCCAAGAATTTGCTAATTTATTTTCCTAATTGTATAATTTCTCTAATAAAAGTCTCTCGATTATTATTATTACATTCAGTCATTGCTCTTCGAAAAAATTCTAATGTACGATTATGAATTTGTTCATTTATTTTAATTTCTTCTAATTTATTGTCATAAAATAAATTCGTTTTTTCTTTTCTCTGTCTATCTAATTCATCATAAGTTGTATCTTTTGTTATACCTACATATTTTAGAGTTTCTTCTTCATCTTCTGATTGTTGAAGATGTTCTAAATATAAAATTAATTCATAACTTCCTAACTCATCTTTTCTTGCCGTTCTTCCTTTTATTTGAATTTCTTCTTTAATATCTTTAGAAAAAAATGTTTGAATAACATGTATACCACCTTTTTCATTAACTTTTGTTTCTGATTGAAAATCAACTCCACGTCCAAATTCTTTCGTTAATAATGTTACTTTTCCATAATGTCCAGCATATTCATCTTTAATTAATTCATTAACATCATTATCATTATAATATTTTTCTTTTTTTCCATCATAAATTTTATTATGAGTAATAAAAAATACTTCAGCACCGAAATCTCCTGAATAAGATTTATAAAATTCTCTAAGTATAATTTCATTTTTAAAAAATATTAAAACAGATCTATTTTCAGCCAGTTTTTCTCGCGTATTATTAACAATAGTATTAGACCAATTTAATTTACTATCTTTAATAATAAAATTTTCATTTTTATTAAATTTTAATTTTGTTTGACCAAAAAATGATGGATAATAAGATCTTTTATTAATATTATAATATTTTAATAAAGATTCTTCTCCATTAGATAAATTTGTTAAACTTCCACTAACACCAAATATTCCATTAAAAGATTTTGGTAATTCAGAATAAGAAATCTTTCCACAATGTATAAGAATATATCCAAAATTATTTTTATTTAAATTAACTTGTTTAAAACTTCCATATTTTTCATAGATTAATTTTAAATAATAAAGACTATTTTCATAACGATAGAAAGTAGTTGAAGAATATTTTCCATCAGGCTCTTTAGCATATATTTCATCATCTCTAATTTGATATTTATCTTTTAAGATATTTTTATCATTTATATCTTTATAAATTTGTGTACCATCATCTATCATTTCTTCTAAATGATTTTTTAAACTATTTGCAGAATATAAATATGATAAACTTTTATCTGCAGTAATTAAATTAGATATTCTTTGTTCAAGAAAAGTATCCCATTGAATTTCATTAGATTTATTAGTCATTATATTTTCCCAAATATCTTGTTGAAATTGAGAAATATTTTCATTATAAATAGTAGATACTGGATTATACATTTGACCAAATTGATGTGAAAAAAATACATCAACTTCATCAATCAAAAGAATGGAATTTTCTTTTTCATTTTCTTTAATATTTATAGGAGTTAAATTTTCTTCTGATAAAATATTTGAAATCATACTTCTTAAATCTTTACCACTATCCGTATTGGATAATCTCTCATTACACATTGTTTCAAATGTTCTATATTTAACAATATTTACAAAATTAAATGGTTCAAGATTTTTTTTAAAATCATTTTCATCTCTTCGAGATAAATACTCACTATAACAACCAATTGTAACTTTATAACCAATTAAACTAAAATATCCTCCTAACAAAGCTAATGCCCAAGATTTTCCTTGTCCAGTTAAAATCTCAGCAAGATGATTAGAAGGAAATGAATTACTATTTCCATCACTCTCTAATAATATTAATACTCCAAGAATTTGAATACAATGAGGTTGTAATAAATATTTTTCATTATACTTTTCTTTTAATACAAATTCTCCTTGACGTTTTTCAATAAGATCCGAGACTGTTAAAGAAAGTACAACGGACAAACCAGCAATGATAGTTGGGATATTTTCTGTTTTAAACTTTGATTTACTAGCAATTTTTGTAGTTTCTTTAACTATACACTTAATTGAAACCTTCCCATTAATAATATCACTAAAATATTTTAGAAATAATTTTTCATATTTTATAAAAGCTTCTTTAATATTTTTAATGTTTATTAAAGTTTTATTTTTTTCTTGAAATAATTCTAAAGCATGATCAAGTGTTATTTCTTTTAATTTTCTATTATATAAAAAATATAAATCAAGTTTTTCTAATTTCTCACAAAATGTTTTATAAGAATCATTATCTTTTATTACATCTCTAAATGGAGTGATACAATCTTCTTTAAATTTTTCTAAACTATTATATTTTATTTGATCTTTAAAATAATTAAATGATTTTCCTATTGCCATGATTAGTTCTCCTCTTAATTTAATCATTTCTATAACACTAGTATCATTCATTATTTCTATATTTTTAATAATTTCTAATAATTCTATAATTGCATCTAATACATAATGAGGACATGCGTCTTTGGCTTCTCTTTCTACTTTTTTAATTTCTAAAACTTTATAAATATCTTTGTCTCCAACTTTTTCAAATAAAGACGAATCACAATTTTTAATCTGTTTAAATTCGACATACCAATTGATATCTAATGATGCTAGATTAGTTAAAAAATTATTTAGTTTTTGCATAGCAAATAATCTATTTTGACATTTATTTAAAAAATTCCAATCAATTTTGAACTCTTTAGCATAATCAACTGAACTTTGTTTTTTTTCATCTTTTATTTCTGTGTTAGCACCTTTTTCTAAAAGTAATGAAATAATATGTTTGTGTTTTCCTCTAACTGCCCAATGTAAAGCAGTTCTTTTACCACCACCTTGTTCATTGATGTCTACATTTGATTCTAACAGAACTTTCACATCAATTATATTGCCTTCGATAACTGCCTTTCTTAACGCAACTCCTAAGCTAATCGTCGCATATTTTGTTAATAAATCATTCTGATTTATTTTAGTTTCTTCTTTTGATTGACTAATTCTCTCTTTCGGGAGAATCAATTTAAAAAATATTTGTTATTAAAGATATGATTTTTAAAGACTTCTTATGAAATTCGGAATCTGATGGAAATTTTTCTTGAAAAATAGTTGATAATTTTAAAAATTCAGTATCAAAATTAAGAAAATGATCAATAATTTCTGTAATATTTTGTTTTTCTTCAATAAATTCTCTAATTGATTCTAATTGTAACTTTGTCATATCTCCAATTTGAGAATTTTTATTTATTAAAATTTGTATAAAATAATTAAGTATTTTTCGAATTTCTTTCATTTTATTTTGATAATTAAAAGTTCTATTTTTTAATAAACTATCTTGATAATAATCTATCGTTGATTCTAAATGAACAGAGATTTGATTGGAATATTCACTATTCATTTCTAGAAATGAACGAATATAACTTTTCGAATCTTGT